GTAGAGCCGACGATCTGGATATCGCGTAGAGTTGCGGAAAATTTGGGTGCCTACAACGATGGGATGATGAGACGATGATTGGTTTTCAGATCGAACAGATGAATTCCAACCGCAAGCCATGAGTATATCTGAGAAATCCTCTCGCCATTCCTTTCAAAAGAATCATCTCACGAATCTCGATGAAACAGCTCGAGCGCACCTCCTCGCCGGTCTCTCCCTGATACGTAAACACCAGCATTTTCGACTTGCAGCCTTGCACCCGCGCTGAGTACATTTTTCGTACCCGCGCTCCAACTTGGTATTGAACAACGTGATCTTGCTCGTCCAGCCGTACCTCGTGTAACAAGTCCAACTGCCCGATAGGGATCTCTTCAAAGTCTGAGGAGAAGGCGGTGTTGGGGTCAGGTATTGGCCAAAACAACCCTCGTCCAGGGTCCTTACCCGTAGGATCGCTCTCGGGAATCAGATGGGTGATATTGGTGATGTTATTGAAATTGCCGCCAGCGACAACGAAGCGCCTTGCATGAGAAAAGAATGCGCCCGGGGGACCTACGATTGGTCGGTTGACAGTCAATATCCCATATTCAAGGAACCGCTTACGGAGCGGGGTTTTCGCTTGACTGGGAGTCTGCGATATGCGGCGAGATGGGTTCGTCGTTCACTGACAATGGGTGATATGAGGGTAAGAGATGGGCTGTTGAGCGACAATGATAACCCTGACTCTCTTTTTGAATGGCAATTCTTCCAAATGGAGTTTCGGTGGAGCGTGGTGCTGTGGCGACAAAAATATGTATGACCGCGGAATCTATGCTGGAGTTGAGACTTTTGAGTTTGGTGGTTGCGCCGAAGAGAAACTCCACCTGATCATGAGTAGCTACCGGGCAGATAAGGGATGTCGGCTTCGGGACGTCCAAAGTGGCGCACCGGGGTGAATCAAATTTGGTGACGACATCATTGTTGACGGCTACATATTACGGCTCCCGGCGACATCGCCAAACCCGTCCAGAACCGGGGGATATAGCTCAAAGGGAGCAGCGTGAAGGAAACACAGCCTGAAGAGACAGAGAAGACAGTTCGGTCCAGACTACAGACAGAAGTCCGTAGACAGATTGGCTAGGCGAGGCTGGTACTGGGTGAAGGGACCTGAAGCGTCAACCGCAACGTGGCGGTAAGAAGGAGAAAAGCACAGGCGAGGCTGTGTCTTCGGGTTCAACGGTGTTGTCAGCACCTTCGCAGCGGCGTCGCCGGCTCGCCCTCCAACACCCGCGGGACGATCTTCAACGGGATGATGAGCGCCTGGTTGGTCCTTCAGGATCGTACCCGTCCTAGTGCCCATGTACAGAGACTTCATGCTCGTAGCATATAGGCGGCGCTTTGCGACGGGTGGCGCACGAATGATGGGGAGTGTAGGGAAGGGGAAAGAGGGTTCGATGGGTGAGGTTACGGTGGCAGCGGGTGCGGAAGTCATTCCGGGCTGTGTGGAGTCGACCTCGGACGCGAAGGACGGCCTTGCGAAAGAATTCCCGGGTTTTAGACTTCATCGCTTCCAGCACGGCAGTGACCATGGCACGATTGTCACGGTCCATACGGATAACTCTGTACAAGTAAGGCTCAACCCTACGCAATCCGTATACTGAATCAGACTCATGAGATGCCGGTGCGGAAAAAACAGACCAGAGAAGCACCCGCTTGGCCACTCGTAGAAGGGCAGGGATTGTCGCTGGATGTACGGACTGCTGCCGTTTCGAATAATTCGCGTTCGAGTTCAGGTGGAAACGCAGGCCCATTTTCCATGCAGCCTGGCGTGAGGTGTCGAACGTTGACGATTCAGAACTTCTGAGAGCCACGTGGCAATCACGATGGGATATCTGATCGCGATAAGATATTGGCACGGCGATTGCCGCGCAAGTCAACCCTGAAGTTCAACCGCGAGTTGACTGTGAACACCCGTGAAGCTTGAACTAAAACACTGGCTTCGCGTGCCGGGGCAAGGCGAGGAAAGGAAGAAAAAAACGAGAATCACTACCGCATGGCCCGACCCCGAGTCGAACGGGTGCCCTGCATATGCAGCTATCGTCGAGATTATGTATGGACACGCAGAAGCGGTCCCGCCGCTATCGAGCCGATAGTCGCTGACCTCGGTTACTCCTTGAATGAGATTCAATAGTTCTACTCGAAACAACAGGCACACACGGCTGGGTAAATATGAAGCGGCAGGATGAGATGGCTCGTGTCTGTACGGACTCGATTGGTTTCCGTCTCAAGTGGTAGCGACGACGCCTAAGAGTATGCAGAAGTCGTTAGAAACGGGCCGGTAAGTATTAGCACTTGTAGGTTAGTTGCAACACCTACGCACCACATGGGCGAGTCGGCAGTCCAGAGCAGACACTGGACGTCGGGACTGGAAGGCTGGGGCTCTGCGTGCCAAGGGATGGGAGGAGAAAAAAGATCCCGGTCGTCAGCGGCCTTAGAAGCCAAAGAATCGAAAAGGAAACATAAAAATACCAAATATGGCCCGACCCCGAGTCGAATGGGAGTCCTGCATATGCAGTTGAAGTCGGAATCTCACATCATCATACAGACGCGGTCCCATCGCTATCGAGCCGATAGCTGTCTACCTGTATCCCTGGTTGGGTGGGATATAATCGGCACTCGGGAAACACCAGATATAAAACCACACAGAAGTCAAACACAGTTGAAGCCGTGTCTATGGCTCGTACCTGTACAGACGCAATTAACTCGCAATTGCATGCACTGGAAAAAGGTGTAAAGAAGCGTACGGAGCCGGGAGGAACACCACTAGCACCTGAATGTCGAGAAAGAAATCTCACAGTTCAAAAAGGGCGGCTCGACCCCGAATCGAACGGGTGTCCTGCATATGCAACTGAAGTCCTATATGACCGTGCAGCAGACGCGGTCCCACCGCTATCGAGCCGATAGCTGCCTACTTGTGTCCCCAATTGGATGGGATAAAATCAGCACTAGAGAAACACCAGATATAAACGCACATACCAGGCCAAACACATCCGAAGCGACGGGGATTGCCCCTGCCTGTACAGATGCGATTAATTCAATCTGAATCCGCAATGGAGAAGGTGTCGAGACGCGTACGGATGATCACCGCTAGCACCTGAATGTCCAAAAAAAAAACCTTACAGTCCAAGGCTCGACCCCGAATCGAACGGGTGTCCTGCATATAGACGTGATGAAAATCCAGAGCCCAGGAAAAGCAGGCGCGGTCCACCCGCCATCGAGCCGATAGCTGGCTACCGCGGTCGCTGCTTGGGTGGGATCGAATCGGCAGCGGAGATACGGCAGACGATAGACTCAGGTACAGTATGGATTTGTACATATCCACTGGGCCCGGATCATAACCAGAGGGTAGAAGCAAGCATGCGGGGCACAAATGCTTTGGACGAGTTGCCGGATATCTTCCACAGACTGCTAGCTGGATTCGCTGAGATCCAAGGGTTTTTTATGTTTCACTCTGGAGTAACGTTGCTGAAAAAGACTCGGAGACTCCAGACGCTTGGGGGTTAGGATTGAGCCACTCGGGCCAGTTCGGAACCGTAGAAGACAATCTGTCGCAGAGATTCGTAGCACCGAAGATGCAGATCATCTTCCCGGCCCGCGGAAAAGACACGGGCCGGAGCCGGGCTCATGACGTCTGTCTCGCTCATCTCCCACCACCATGCCGCTCATCGACCCCTTCAGCTCGCTCACCGCCGCCCTCTCCACCGCGCACCTCATCCCCGACGTCCTCCCCGCGTCCTTCGCACCCACCGCCCTTCTCACCATCCTCCTCTCCTCCGGCCCTGTTGCCCCCGGTGCGGAGGTCCCGATTTCTGAGACTATGGAGGCGCCCAAAATGGCGATCGCTGCGGCGCCCAGGGAGGAGGACGTCGGCGAGGATGGGTTGGTGAAGAGTTTTGGCGCAGATGGACCCAAGTACACACTCGCGATGTTCGACCCCGATGCGCCGAGCGCTGCGCAGCCGACGAGTCGACAGTTTCGGCATGGGTGGTGCGTTCAAGTTGGTTCTCAAGAGGATGGAGGCTCACCATGATCTACAGATAACCGGCCTCACCCCCGACCCCGACCCGACCTTGCCCGCTGTGCAGGCCAAGCCCACGCCCGCTTCGGAGCCGACGCCGTATCGCCCTCCGGGTCCGCAGAAGGGCAGCGGGCTGCATCGGTATAGTGCGTCGCCTCTCTTCTTCTTCCCGTCTGCTTCTCTCCCTCTATCTCGTCTCCCCTTCTCTCTGTCTGCTTCCCATCTCCCCACTCGTTTCTACTGATGCAACGCACCCCACCGCTTCTCGCTTCTCGCTTTCCCTCATTCCCCCCATGCTCTGCGTCCTCCTCTCCCAAATTCCGTCTCCGCTTCTCTTTATACTTGCATTTTTTCTCTCATATTTTGAAATTCCTCACTCACTTTCGTTTTTTTTTCCCCATCTAGCATTCACCCTCTACCGCGAGCCCCCCTCCTTCACACTCCCGGAGGAAGCCCCCGAACACGACGCCACCCCCGCGGGCCGGCGGCACTGGGATGCGGTTAAATTTGGGGAGCGGAACGGGCTGGAACTGGTCGGGGGCGGGGTGGTATTTGGTAAGGAGCGAGGAGTGAAACAGTTTTGGTGGGAGGAGAGAAAGAGGGTAGAAGGGGACGAAGAGAGGAGAGGAAGAGAAGAAGAAGAGAAGAGTAGAACCCCGCTGTGTGTGTAACGATATTTGACTACGCTATTCCAAGACACGACATTTCTCGCAGATTTGAAGCAGCGCACGTCGCCCGCCTGCTATTGATTTTCACTGTTCGAGCCCAGCGCACACCACGACGCCCGTCCAGTGCGCTCGCCCCCCGACATAATCTAAACCAACGACCCCCTCGCCGTGTACGGTTATATTTTGTTCTGTTCTGCATTCTCTATTCTCGTCCACATGAGGCTCAACTGAAGGCACGGAGATATGCAGTTGTCGAAAGACAGAGGGAGGCAGGTATCGGCTCGATAGCGGATGGACCGCGCTTGCTTTACGTACGTAGCCATTCATCGGGTTTATGCAGGACTCCCGTTCGACTCGGGGTCGGGCCATGGATCTGTGAAACATCTCTTTTCTTCTTTTTCTTCCTTGCGTTCAATTTCATATCGTCTATTTGCGTGGTACTAATATTTCCGGTCTCGTTTGACTACGCTCGGGCATCAGTTGTGGGTGGGTCTGTGTTTGCGAGGGCTGAATCATTCAATATTATACGAGCAGGGACACAGGAAGGCAAGTATCGGCTCGATAGCGGCGGGACCGCGCCTGCTTCACGTGGAGCATTTCGCAAACCCGAACGCATATGCAGGATGCCCGTTCGATGCGGGGTCGGGCCCTTTGTTTGTCGGGATGATTCTTTTTCTTTTTGCCCTCAGGCTTCGGTTCAAGTTCACGTCGTTCTCCAATTTGCGCAATCCATTTCAGGTCTCGCTTACCTTGGTTCGCGCTTGTGAGTAGGGTTGTGTCTGCTCTCTTTTCTCGAGTGTGAATTAAAACTTATATAAGCAGGGTCACAGGGAGCTAAGCACTGCGTTCAAGCCCCCCGTAGATGGAGGGTCTGTCTACCTGGGTAGACGCAGGGTAGATGGACCTGTCTGGCTACCTCAGTATATGTTGCGTATACGTACCTAGTTCACCTGAGTCTACTGTCTGTCTACC